CCCGCCCCCTCTGAGCGGGCCTTCGGCGCGTTCCAAACCACATGGACACCTACCTTAAGGTCGACCGTCCGCCTGTGTCTGTTGGCCAGTCCGCCGAGCTGCGGTCCAAATGGGCCTTCAGCGGCGGGCTGTTACTCCACGAAACCAGTCGCAACTCCAAGATTGCAGCAAGCAAAAAGTCCAGGGATCTCTTAATGCTGTCAGGGATGATCAATCACCTCTGCCTCTCCTCCATCGTTCTTGCCTTGCATCGTCTTCGTCTTCTGCTTCTGGTACTGGTCCTTTTCAGCTGTCACATGGCACTGGCAGATTTGTTCAGCCCTTGACAGGAAATCAGAAACTTGACTCAGCTCAGGGGGGAGTTAGCAATTTGCAATCATCCCAACGGCATCGTTTCCTCCAAAGCTTCCTTCAAGCATGATGCGGTGAGGCTTTTTCAGCTGTCACATGGCTCATCGACCATGCGCTCCACGCACTTGAAGAGGACCGCCGCTGCCTCTTGTTATTGTCTTGTCCCAAGCCGTCAATTATCGAAACAGTGTGACCTTCCGCCTTTGCATCATATCATGTCTATTTGACCCTCCTTCAAGACCCCGCCGTCAATGATGACACCAGCCATTTTGATATCTTCAAAAAACCAAACAGTATAAGACTGATAAACATGCCAAACTTCCAACAGAGCTGCAGGTCGCACGGCAAGCGAGCAATTTTACTGAATCCATGCCGTCCATGCCACGCAGAGTTGGGAAAAAACTTAGAGTTAGAGAGGCTCATGGTTCAACTTTGTGATGTGACATCACCGCAAAGATGGTGCCAGAGAGGAGTCCAAGACAGCTGTGAATACCAAATGTACAAAAAGAATGTGGTGGCAAAGAGTGTTCAGGTGGCAAAAGCGAGAGCTGCAGAGAATCCCAAGCATAAAGTGTCCATTCTAGTACTGATGTTCAACAACAGCCCGCAAAATCCAACTCCTCGTGGGCGTCGCATGCACTGCAGCGCCAAAATGGCGCCAAATCAGGAAGCGGGTTGTCGTCGAACTCAAAAGCCGCTGACATTTGTCTGAGACAGGTGGCGGACATGACCAAAAAAATCCCACAAACAAGCGTGGTAGCAATGTACTGTACCGGATCCACGCGGTGACTTCGAACAGGGTGTGAAGTGAAAACTTCAACAGCCATGTGTGAAGGAGGCTACTAGTCCGAAGGGACGTCCAAACATCGTACGGCAGGCTTGACCGCGTGCGTGCAGGATACATAGAGCACAGGCAGCACAGTAGACGAAAAACCAGTCGTTCGCGATTCTCTCGGAGTGACCGTGCTGAGAGGCACCTGCGTAGAGTGGCGACCACGGCATCGTCAGCGTGGGAAAATACAGCCGGTTCGTTTTTCCTATGCTGCTCGACAGGTTACCCAGTGCATCCAAAAACCCTTAAAAGAAAGAACATACCTTAAATTTCGGTTGCGCTCCTGAAAACAAACCTTAATTGAGGTGTTTTGCTTGTTTTAGGGTCTTTTACGAAAATTAAACTCCTTAATTAAAAAACTTTGGTTCTGAATTAAAGGCTTTTGTGCGCTTTTAACGTTTTTTTCCTTATTTATTTTTTTCAAGGTTTTTGGTCTTATGCTTGCAAGCATGCATACTCTATATATATATATATACATATATGTCATACATAAACACACACAGACACAGACACACACATATATACATATATATGTGCCCGATACCTTTAGG